GGGTAGCATTTGTTGTTTGTCATTTCTCTGATCACAAATGCAGACATGGTTTTATGTTTTCGCGGCACGATGCAACGCAATGCGTATAAAGACAGTATAAGTCATTATAATCCATAATTATGTCCCCACTGGATGCAACGAATGCCTAGTTTATAATGGGTTTTGTTGATTTTTTGTCTCGTGGATTTTTGGTCCCCCCTAAAGTCCCGGGACACGGCATCACAGTATGGTAAGTAAGGGGCATAACATTTATGTCACACGCTTGAGGTATTCGGCCAATCACAATGCACTGGATAGCTGGCCAATCAGAGCACACCTTGCTTTTCAGAACGATGAGCTTTGTAAAAATCGACGCGTTTCAGAAAGGTGGGGCATAGAGGAGCAACAATAATGTACAGTATGTGGAAAATAATGTGGTTTTTGAACCTTAAACAGCATAAACACATTTCATTACACCAAATACACAAAATAATGTTATTTTTAGCAACATCATATGACCCCCTTTAAGGTAGGAAGACACTGCATTGTTGCAGCATCGTTCCCCTCAGAGAGAGTCTGTGAGATGAGGAATCGCATCAGCATATCCAAGCTGAGGCATTTGATATTTCTGAATGCCAATCTGCGCTATAAAGTGTCTTAATTTTAAGACTTTTGCCTTTATTTATTTGATTTGTTTGCTGTGGTTCTGCGTTCAATTGTTTAATTAAAGTTTTATTAAAATGTTAAATAATAGTAACTGTTTTTTTTTGTTTTTTTTTTAAATGCATAAAAATAAGGCTTTTATAAAAACACGGAATAAAAAGTTGCTTACCAACACACAAACCATTCACAATTGCTTAATTGGTCTAAAATAGAAGGCTCAGAGTGATACTAAATGAAGAGCCATTTGGGAGCCGTAAGAGCCAGCTTTTCTAAGGGAGCCGAGCCAAAAGAGTAGAATCTTTGAAAAGAGCCGGACTTACCATCACTAATTTGTGAGAGGAATAGATGCGATCCCTGTCTCCGTCTGCTGCAAAGCTCATCCTGTGTGCTACAGTCTGTGTGCAAATTCAAAAGAATGCCGCCAGAAGAAACTTTACATCAGCCTTGGTTGTGAAATGCTATTGGCTCTTGTGTGTCTTGTGACGAGTATCTTTTTGAATGAGATGTGAGTGCGTTAATAGAGCGGGATCATTTTCAGCGATAAAACCTTATGTTTTACTCTCTTCTTCGCATAAAGACATCGTATGGCTTCAGAAGACTTGGAATGCAACACGTTCTTGATTGTAATGCTTTTATACTGCTTGTTCATGGTCAGTTTTTGCAATAAATAACTGTGACTGCACTTATATTTGCCTGTTACGTGATTTATATTGTTCAGAAGTGGGTTAGGGGTGGGGTTAGGTGCTCCAATGAAAGTATACATTTATATAAAATGATTTCTATTTTTTACAAATGCATGCAAAACATTAAAGGGCACCTATTATGCCCCTTTTTACAAGATGTAATATTGGTCTTGGGCAGGGGTGGCGAACGTCGGTCCTGGAGAGCCGCAGCCCTGCAGAGGTTTGCTTCAACCCTAATCAAACACACCTGAACAAGCTAATCAAGGTCTGAACAGTTACTAGGAAGCTACAGGCAGGTGAGTTTTAATTAGGGTTGGAGCTGAACTCTGCAGGGCTGCGCCTCTCCAGGACCGGAGTTCGCCACTCCTGGTCTTGGGTGTCCCCAGAATGTGTCTGTGAAGTTTCAGCCCAAAATACCCATCAGATCATTTATTATAACAGCTGGAAAATGTCATTTTTGGGGTGTGTCTTAAAAAGAGCTGTTTGGAGTGTCACTTTAAATGCAAATGAGCTGCATATTCCTGTCTGTCTCCAGAAGAGGGCATCGTGTATACGTCTCTCTGCATTGCATATCTACAACAATAAACACAGCCGGTAGAAGCAACATGACTGAGAGCGAGAAAACTGGTGTTCAACTGCAAAGCCAAATGCACTGAAAGTGGGACAAAACAGCGCTATGTTACCATAGGCCAGGGGTGGCGAACGTCGGTCCTGGAGAGCCGCAGCCCTGCAGAGGTTTGCTTCAACCCTAATCAAACACACCCGCACAAGCTAATCAAGGTCTGAACAGTTACTAGGAAGCTACAGGCAGGTGAGTTTTAATTAGGGTTGGAGCTGAACTCTGCAGGGCTGCGGCTCTCCAGGACCGGAGTTCGCCACCCCTGCCATAGGCGGAAATCCTGGGGGGGACGGGACCCCCGACCCCCCCCCCATCTGAGGGTTGTCCCCCCTAAAATTATGATTAAAAACCACGCTGTGTATTGTAAATAACAATGTTTAATACTTTAAATAATTATGTAAGTAGTAAAACAAAACAAACGGGGCAAAAATGCATTTTAAGTTTAGAAACATTTTGAGTCTTGCCTCACAGTGCTTTGGTCCAAATGCATGCTTTCCTCTTTTACATCACCTAGGCTACACACGCACAAGTCCGGTGGGAGAGAAGTCAATAGTTGTGGAACTCCAGTAAGTAAGGCTGTCAAGGCTATTTTATTCACTTAAACGTAGGATGAAATGATTATTTTCTCTTTAATACATGATGCCAATGTTTTTTTCGATGAGTCCGCTATGTTAGCAACAATAATGTTACCTGCTTGACAGAAAGGGCTGCCAGGTTTTCACAACAAAACCCGCCCAATTGCTACTCAAAACTAGCCCAAACCAACCGCGTTTCGAGGGGGTCCCCTGGTAAAAATCGCGTTCCGGGGACTAAAAACACACGTTATTGGAGTCGCTTCAACCTGTGGACATGAAAAACAACCCGTGGCAACAGTGATAAAGTAGCCCAATCCTCCCAAGTTGGGAGTGAGAATGTGTTGATATTTTCAGTGCCAATTAATTAATACATTCTAACCTCTCTTATTCAATCAATGAACACTGTGTGCACATGTAAGTGTCTCAAATTCAGAAACCTTAAAAACATGAGAGCATCACATTTGCACAATGTTTGCATTCAGAGCCTTCAGCCTCTAAGTGAAACCAGGGTTATATAAAATGGGAGGGATTTTTACAAGGCCAGCAGGTTGTAAGCGTACAAAAGTATACAGGCAAACAAACCAAAACAGCAACAAGCATTAGCTCATGCCTATTTGAGCATTCTTTAAATTGCTAATTTTTTCCCCCATTGCTCCAGTGGTTTTCCACTCACTTTCTCATTATTTTCAAAAATATATTTTGCCAATTTGGAACATGAACATCTGCAATCAGCATTTAATTTTCAGTTCAGAAGGCAAGAAAACAATGCTATATTAAAATATACAAAGTGGTGGAATCTCTGGAAGAGTGTTCTGTATGATTTTACACACTCAGGATGTTAATGCACTGTTTGACTGTTGTGAATTCTGTTTGAAAAATCATAACACAAGCCTGGGTATTTATAAGAATACTAGGATAAACTGGGCATAGTAACAATCTGATTCACTGATGAATCATTACCAAATTATTTCACAACCAATGAATCCCAATAATGTGCATTTGGATAAACCAATATAAAGTACATTCTGTTTAAAACTAAATGAAGCCATGTCAAACAGGTTAATGTGAAAGATACATGGACACAATATAGTCACACTTCAACAATTGTTATGGAGTCTCTTGACATGATATTGGTGTATGGGGGATGGGTGGGATCAGATGTTTTAGGTTTATGAAGACAACATTTACCTTAATCCCTGGGAGTCCAGGCAGCCCTGGAAGTCCTGGCTCACCCTATGTAGGAAAAGTGCAACAAATTACAGCCAAACCAAGCCACCACTTCTGGCGATGAGCCTGGAAACGGCTATTTTATTCACTTAAACGTAGGATGAAATGATTATTTTCTCTTTAATACATGATGCCAATGTTTTTTTCGATGAGTCCGCTATGTTAGCAACAATAATGTTACCTGCTTGACAGAAAGGGCTGCCAGGTTTTCACAACAAAACCCGCCCAATTGCTACTCAAAACTAGCCCAAACCAACCGCGTTTCGAGGGGGTCCCCTGGTAAAAATCGCGTTCCGGGGACTAAAAACACACGTTATTGGAGTCGCTTCAACCTGTGGACATGAAAAACAACCCGTGGCAACAGTGATAAAGTAGCCCAATCCTCCCAAGTTGGGAGTGAGAATGTGTTGATATTTTCAGTGCCAATTAATTAATACATTCTAACCTCTCTTATTCAATCAATGAACACTGTGTGCACATGTAAGTGTCTCAAATTCAGAAACCTTAAAAACATGAGAGCATCACATTTGCACAATGTTTGCATTCAGAGCCTTCAGCCTCTAAGTGAAACCAGGGTTATATAAAATGGGAGGGATTTTTACAAGGCCAGCAGGTTGTAAGCGTACAAAAGTATACAGGCAAACAAACCAAAACAGCAACAAGCATTAGCTCATGCCTATTTGAGCATTCTTTAAATTGCTAATTTTTTCCCCCATTGCTCCAGTGGTTTTCCACTCACTTTCTCATTATTTTCAAAAATATATTTTGCCAATTTGGAACATGAACATCTGCAATCAGCATTTAATTTTCAGTTCAGAAGGCAAGAAAACAATGCTATATTAAAATATACAAAGTGGTGGAATCTCTGGAAGAGTGTTCTGTATGATTTTACACACTCAGGATGTTAATGCACTGTTTGACTGTTGTGAATTCTGTTTGAAAAATCATAACACAAGCCTGGGTATTTATAAGAATACTAGGATAAACTGGGCATAGTAACAATCTGATTCACTGATGAATCATTACCAAATTATTTCACAACCAATGAATCCCAATAATGTGCATTTGGATAAACCAATATAAAGTACATTCTGTTTAAAACTAAATGAAGCCATGTCAAACAGGTTAATGTGAAAGATACATGGACACAATATAGTCACACTTCAACAATTGTTATGGAGTCTCTTGACATGATATTGGTGTATGGGGGATGGGTGGGATCAGATGTTTTAGGTTTATGAAGACAACATTTACCTTAATCCCTGGGAGTCCAGGCAGCCCTGGAAGTCCTGGCTCACCCTATGTAGGAAAAGTGCAACAAATTACAGCCAAACCAAGCCACCACTTCTGGCGATGAGCCTGGAAACCCAGCACAACCACAATTGGTTTCCTCTAAACCCACAGTATCAAAAGATTGGCCCTGGTTCACCTACTAAAGTGAAAACCATCAAGATTCTAGTTAAAGCGAAGACACACTGGCTATCTATTGGTGTTGTTGTTGGATCATTTCCATCAGACTTTTCAAATTAATGGTACTGTCACACACAATGCATATAGAGGCCTACTAAAATTGAAAGGGCTGTATAATTATATCTGAAGGTTCAGCTTATCTCTCATGCTAAAAGATAATATGGATAATATGGATCCCATTAGACTATAAAATATATTATTATATTACTGCATAATATAAGTATATTAGTACACCATGAGAGGTAGAAAAGTTTAATTTTCAGAAGCATTAACATAATACATCAAGTTAGTCGTACATACTCTGCCGAAATAAATACCCATGTAAAAAGTGAGTAGGACTAGTTCTCAAATGGTGAGGTTAAATAGATCCCAGACTGCAGTTTGAGGATTGTATGTTTTCACAGGACTTCCTTTAAGTGCTGTAAATATGATGAACATTTCTGTAAAGCCCCGTTCACACCAAGAACGATAACTATAAACAGGGATTGCGGAACAAACCAAAAAGAGGGGGGGCCGGGGGGGTTGTAGAACAAATTTTTATATTAACAATACTAATGGTATTAGTTAGATGCCACATATATTAGCCTATGTATTTTTAAGCTATGATTTTCCCACAATTCTGAAAACAAAACAGACAACCAAAGAAAATATGTAATTTACTTGAGTTTCTAACAAAATGTTTTATTAGTGTTATAAATTAGTTTAATATGATTAAAATATTAATTTAAACAAATTAGCCTAATTATGTAAAAAAAATCATTTGAAATAAATAAATTAATTAATTAAGACTTGTTTCGTTTTGAATCTCTTGAATGAATGATTCAGACATTAAAGGGGTCATGAATCATAAATATGATGCGATTTCAAGTTTTCCTTTCTCTTTGGAATGTTACAAGCTGTTCGTGAATAGATAAGATCCCTAAAGTTGCAAAGATTAAAGTCTCAAACCCAGAAGAGATATTCTTTATAAAAGTTATGACTCGTCCATGCCCTCCTAAAATGCCTTGTTTAAACACGTCCCCACATGTCTACATCACTGTGTGGGAAGATTTGCATAACACCGCCCAAATGTTTACGCAAAGAAAGAAGGCGTAACTTTGATTCTCACTGTAGTATTGTTGTTGCCGCCACCATGCCGTGGAGACGCTGTGTGTTTCATTGTGAAAGTGAAACTACTTTGTTTGGCCTTCCAAAAGAGGACACAACAAGAAATCAGTGGTTAAGTTGTAGTTACAACACTGTTCCAGAACAGTTCAACCCAGATATTCAGATGTGTGCAGCGCATTTTACAGAGGACTGTTTCCTGAAGCTGGGTGAGTAGCCTACAATGTTCTGACTCACAGCCTGTGAGTATGTTTTCATATTTAAAGAATTTGCCACTAATGATTCAAACGCGAGTTTTGAGCAATGTAGAGTAGCGCTTGTTGTTTGTCGTTTCTCCGATCACAAATGCAGACATGGTTTTATGTTTACGCCGCGCGATATGCAACGCAATGCGTAAAAAGACAGTACAAGTCATTACAATCAGTAATTATGTCCCCACTGGATGCAACAAATGCCTCATTTATAATGGGTTTATTTGTTTTTGTCTCATCGCACCGAGACACGGCATCACAATATGGTAAGGGGTGTAACATTTCCGTCACATGCTTGAGGTATTCGGCCAATCACAACGCACTGGATAGCTGGCCAATCAGAGCACACCTCGCTTTTCAGAACAAAGAGCTTTGTAAAAATCGATGTGTTAATATTTTTATGTTTTGTAGATTAAGTTATAAATAATTTACAAGTGATTAGATGATGATTAACTAATCATTTACAAAACATGACTATACATTCACAAATGATTATTAAGTAATATGCTACCGATTTACAAATCTCGAAAGTTATCTTAAAAAATAGCATCATGAAATAATCAAACAGATCCTTAGTAAAAGGTTAATACACTGAAAAAATATATATACTAATTTTTTTTAAGGTAAGTGGTTGCCAACTGTATATTTTAGCTACATTTAAATAAAAAAATGTTGAAAGTTAGTCAACTAAATTTGTTTATTTAAATGTAGCTAAAATAAATTGATTGCAACCACTTATCTTTAAACAAATTTTGTAAATTCAACGAATCATTGTTTTCAGTATAGTTACTAGTTAGGTTACTAGTTAATATATTATTAATCACTTATACATCATTGAAATGTCAACATTGAACTATTATCTCACAGCGTTAAAAATACTCCATGTGTGTCAGAAAAGATATCTGTCTACACCCTCACCAGTCAGCTCTTACATTGCAGTACACACTACAAAGTATTCAAAACCTGTTGTGTAAACACATTAATAAACCATTTACAAAGCTTTCTGCATCCCCTATTCTAAAGTGTAAACTACTCATCAGTTGTAAATGTTTTACAAACCTGCCGGTTACAGGTTGTGTGTGTGTACACACTGGGGTGAAAGATCTATGAATGATGAGTAAAACATTTACAACTGATGAGTAGTTTTCACTTTAGAATAGGGGATGCAGAAAGCTTTGTAAATGATTTATTAATGTGTTTACACATGTAGCGTCTGGACCAATCCAACACACTATATATTCTCTTTTTATATGACAAATACTCTGTAACCTCAGTTAACAAGCCATATGAGGACCCATGAACCCTTCCCCCCGGAATGCGTAACACCCCAGGAAGTCGAACAGGCCTCTTTGTTGCATGGCAACCAACGCTGATATCACTGGGTTTATTGGCCAAAAGTATGTAAAGCAGGGAAAATCCCTGCATGTCCCAAGGAAAAGCAGAGTAGAAATGGACTGTGTTCTAGTTAATTCATAGAAAAACCGTTATTTGAATGAACACACATATT